CATCTCTTCAAAATTTTACGCCACTGTCCTAAAATTTGGACTATACTTTTACATTTTTATTTTTTTTTTTTTTAATAAATCGTGTACTCTTGTTAGGAACTTCATTTTAATATACAAAGTTATCATAAAGTAAGGGATATATTTCAACTTATTATAACTTTTTAATAAATTTATTTAATAATGGACTATACTTTTACATTTTTATTTTTTTTTTTTTAATAAATCGTGTACTCTTGTTAGGAACTTCATTTTAATATACAAAGTTATCATAAAGTAAGGGATATATTTCAACTTATTATAACTTTTTAATAAATTTATTTAATAACAAAAACTAAACGATATTTTCAATTAATAATTAAATTTTGTAAGTCCAAACCCAGTTACCCTAAATGTTGAATATGACCTCCATTTTGATCTTATAAAATCAGCAACCGTTCCTTTAAATTGTACACAGTATTTCATAACATTTCTAGTTGAATTGCACCAATTTGCGCTATAATATTGTCTTCTAATTCTTGTAGCGTTGTTGGTTTTCTTCTAAACACTAATTTTTTAAATAACCCCTCAGCCAGTAGTCTGCTGGGTTATGATCAGGTGATTTTGGTGGCCATGAATTTGTAAAATGTCTGCTTAAAACGCGATCTTAAAAAACGTTTGTTAACAATTCTGTAACTGGTCGACAAAAAATATCGTTCACCGTTAATAGTTACAGATACTGTTTCTCCATTAGTACGAATCGATGATAAAATAAGCTATAAAACCGCAACAAACGGTGAATTTCTTGTCATGAAGACCTTCTTGAATGATTTCTTGTGGATTTTCTGCAGACCAGATTCTACAGTTTTGAATATTCAGAGGAAAATGGACATCATCTGTCCATAAAATATGGGATAACCATTCGTGTTCAATTTCCATCTGAACCAATTATCGCAAAGAAAAATCGTACCTAGTAGCCAAATGTGCCTTCTTTAATTCAAACAGCATTTTCAATCGCTTGGATATCTTCTATCTGCCGCATTCATAATAACACTAAACTAAACCAATTCTTGTTTGTAGATTCATACTATTACAGTTTGAGTCATTACAACTTTACGTTTATTTGAGTTTTAATTTGAAAATAAACTGCAATTTGAATGATTTTGTTTTGACACTCATGTCAACAATTGTCATAACGCTTTTGTTTTCCATATAAATAAAATCCCATTCCTTAAGCAATTAGATTTTGTTTAATTTTTGTTGTTAGCTTGATTCGTTAAAAAGTTATAATAAGTTATCACTTACTTTATGATAACCTCATATTTTTTTTAATTTTGTAATTTAGGATTTTTTTTTAAATTTTCTTGAACAAACATTTTAAATGTCAACAAAAAATCGTTTTAATAAATTTTTCCAGTGGCGTACGGCATCTTTCACCCCTTCTAAACTTTACGCCAATTTTCAAAAACTTATTTGAACTATAATTTTCAAATTTTATTAAACACATCATGTACTCTTGTTGGGAATTTATAAAGAAATCCAAAATTAAAAAAATTAAAAATAAAGATTATTATTTACCTTCGAGTGTGAATATTTTATGAGTTCTCAACAAAGGTTCATGATTTAATTAAAAAGCATCAGAAAATGTAAAAGTATAGTTCAAATAAATGTTTGAATAGTGGCGTAGATTTTAGAGAGGGCGAAGTTGTTGAATGTTTAACAAATTTAATAAAATTATACTGAGAAATAAAAAAAATTTAACCATTAATAATTTTTAAATTTTCAACTTGTAACATCCTGTATTTCGTAAATCTGCAATACAGGGTCTCCCAATGAAAAATAGCCCATTTCCAGAGCTTATAACTTTTAAACACCTAATCGTATAAACGTGCGGTTTTTGCTGATATGTATTATTTTTCCATAAGTTTTGATTCATTGAAATTATGTATTACCTATACAGGGTGTTTTTTAAAAATCTATTTTAAATTCACCGTAACCAAATGTCAAATGGAACACCCTGTATATGTTTAGGTCATCTGAAAGATACACTCTTTTACTTTTCAAAAATGTATAATTTGTACATGGTATTTTAGTACAGGGTGTTCCATTTGATAAAATTTGATTACGGTGAATTTAAAAGAGATTTTTATAAAATACCCTGTATAAGTAATACATAATTTATGTGTCACTAAACCAAAACTAATAGCAAAATAACACATATCAGTGAAAACCGCACGTTTCTACGATTAGGCGCTTAAAAGTTATAAGCTCCGGAAACGGGCGGGCTACTTTTCATTGGGACACCCTGTATTTTAATTTGGTTTAATTGTCTTATTTTTATTCGCAGAGTCTTTAGTTATTCTGGGTCCCATTCTTAATAAGATCCTGTGTTAATTTGAATCATAGAATTGAAACATAAGTTTTTTATGTTGTGAAGTCATCATTGCCCATCAAATCTTCACAGTGTAAAATAAGAAGTGATATGGAATGGTATGAGAATATCAAAAATTGTTGTCTTTTTCATTACTGGTCTTCGACTGTTTTATATACAGCTAAAAAATGGCGCACTAGAAACTTTGAAAAAGGTGTAGATTTGATACGAACTTACCCCTATTGGCAACGCTGCACGTATCGTTTTTTGCTTGCTATTTGTAGTTGGTTACAGGGGACGTGTAACATGTCATATTCACAGTAAAGTTGCTTATCTATGGATTTTGTTGCTGAAAATTACATAATATGCATCTAAACGTCCATAACAATAAAAAAATATTTTTGCAAGCATTTTCTGTCGTCTGATTTTGCTACTTTTGCAGTCAGATGAGAGACTATCTAAATTATTCTTTTTTTCTTCTAGCTTATTTCTCTATTGTTAAAAGTAAAGCCACAATAGTATTGCATAGTATTCAAAATGTTACTGAATTATTTTGTAAAGTTATTCGTGCTTCTAAAGAAATACAATTATTATATTTTTTGTTTCTGAAAACATGAATATCTACAATAGAATAAAATTCAAAAAAATATTTAAGATAGCTATTAAGAAGAACTATTTATTAACTACAAGAAAATGTATTTAAAATGAGAAAATTCGAGCAAAAATAAACCAAAATTATACCTCAAATAAAAGAGTCGTTAAAAATTTAAATCTCAATTATATATACTAGAATATATTTAGGTAGGTACCTAGACTTTTGCGCAAAAAGCAAACATTCTGTAAGGATTTTATGAATACTTCGCGATGTTATGAGTCTCGAGAATATTGAGAGCTTTAAATTTGTGCAACGATGTTGTGCAGTCATCATTCAACACAGACATTTACGAAAATAACGTGGGAAACCCCTTTATTTAAAAATTACTAGATTTCTTAAAACAAAAAAGCAACAAATTGGCGTATACATTTTTTTGAATCCCTTTTAAAAATTATTAAAACAAATACTTTTCGAAGGTTTACAAACAAATCACCCTAAGTTTTGTTATTATTGGTATTTCCTGAACATTTCACAAAAATCATACAAAAAATAAAGGCTCAAAAGGAATTAAAAAAATTAAAGCAGTTCGAATTTCTTTTAACTAGTTTTACATTATTTATATCAATTATGAACCTATTGCAAAGTGAAAATAATTGTAAATATCCTTTCATTGAATAGTTCTATAAACTTTTCAATTACAAGATACTTTCCATATTATGGTAAATTAGCTACACACAGACGGCCAAGGTATGCATGTATCGTTTAAAATAATAACCGCTGAATCAAAATTACAATTAATTGCACCGTGACACACTTTCGCCAGATCTTATGATTGTTAAGATTAATCGTGTAACCGAAAGTCTGATTTTGAAATTGATGAATCATAAAAAATTATTTAGTGGGCACAGTTGCCCACCTAAAATTTTTAATTTAGTAACAGTTGAAAAGTGAATTATTAAAAATGGAATTTTTCTGCGAACTTTTTAGGCAATGATATTAATATCAGGCTAGATACATTTGTATTATTTCAATATTTATTAAAGGAACTGTGGAGAGAGGTAAAACACATTTTTGAACATCTTAAAACCACAAAAAATATTAGATTAATCAATAGATATGCCACTATTGCAAGGTTATACTATTGCTGATTGGGGAGAAGACAGTATAGACAAAAAGTCAATAAATTGATATTTATTCTGAATTTTTTGTAAACTAGGGGAATCGGATTGGAGTAGGGCTGGACTGTAGATAGAATCACAATCACTGAGTTTGGAAAAAATGAGAGATTCACATAGTTTGAGTTGTGTGGAAAGCAGGTCTCGGTTAGGGTACAACTATCTTAAGACGTTGAACGAACTTTGAGATGCGGTGGAGGTATGTTTATTAAAACAAAGATCAGAATCTAACTAGAGACCTAGGTTTTTTCCTTCATTCGTGAATTAAAGGAGAGCATCGCCTAATTTAATTTGTAATGCGTTTATTATTAATTGTCTTAATTTTTTGTGGTCAAATAACATTATGGATGCTTTTTTAGAATTTATTTTAAGGTTGTGAGCTGTAGAAATATCAAGTAATGCATTCAAATCGTCGTTAGTAAGATTTTGGGCAGTAAGTAAGCACTTATTATTAAACGACTGATATAATTGGGTATCATCTGCATAATGATGGATCACAGAATTTTTAACAAAGCTATGAAAATCTGCTATATATAGTGAAAACAGCAATGGTTTCAGAATGGATCCTTGTGGAAAACCTTGATTAACGGGTAGACTGCTGGATACATCAGCTTCCAAAATAACTTTATGAGTACGATTGCTAAGAAAATTTGATACTAGACAACTGGATTTATGAGAAAAACCGAAAAATTTCAGTTTTTTGCAAAGTGTTGGATGATCTAAAGTATCAAATGCTTTGCTATAATCAAGTGACTTTGCCCAGGTCTGTCGCCTTAAAAAAGTCATCCGTGATAGATAAGAGGGCAGTGGTCATACTATGGTGCATTCTAAAGCCAGATTGAGCTGGAGTTATTATATTTTGGTCTTATACATATTTGCTAATTTGATTTTTAAGTATAAATTCAAACGATTTTGGTTGGTACATTTAGCAAGCGGAATAATAAAAGCCTGTTTCCACGACACGAAGAAATTATTTTAATAAAAATAACTATCATGCGCAGTGATATGTTATCTAAACCAACGGCATGACTTTTTATACGATTTAGAGATTTTTAAACTGAATCAGAAGAGAAAGATCATATTACCGATCAAGTAAGACTGATTGGTCATTGACTTCAGAGCAGTAGTAGATGAATTAAAATGTTTGTTAATTTCAGTAACATTATTTAAGTGGTATAATAGGACTGGCTTTTTTTCTAAGAATTTCTAAGAATCTTAGAGTGTTCCTGGTGGTCTTGGAATTCTTTTCTCTAAGAACAAAGTTTAATTAAGCCTTTTTTTCTCGTCGAATTGTTCCAGTAGTAAAATTCCTTAGTTCGGTATAGCTAGTCTTATCTTTTTTATATTTTTTTAAAGTTTTCTCTTAACGAAATCATTATTTTTATATAAGTAAGCCAAGGGGTATGCGGTTTCGTGACTCTTTTTCTTACTAAAGGAGCATGTACAGAGAAAAGATGGATCAAGGAATTATTCAGATGGAAAATCATATCTTCAACGTAATTTAATGGGTAAATTATTAAAAGATTAATATCAAATCGTGAAAAGTCACGATAGGTTATATACTTTTTTTTTCTAAAGCGATTGACTCTATGTTGCAAAGAACAGCTTGATGATATGACAAGCCACGGCTTCTGACATCTAGTACCTCAACACATGTTGTTTGATGGACATCTGACACAAATATAATGTATATGAGAGTTTTGCTGTGCCGGGTTATATGAGTTGGTTCATTAACAATTTGTGTTAGTCCATAGGAATTTAAAAAATGTATACATAGATCACAACCTCTACTAGGCGTCATAAAATCTATATTATTACCCCCTGAGACAATGAAAGTCACAAGATGGTAACACGTTGGCGACGCTATCCTCCAATTCATCAAGGCAACTACTAACAGAAGAATTAGGGGGGTGATATACAGGGTGTTTTTTTAATATTGTGAAAAAATTCAGAGGCGTGTCCCTTAGACGAAATGAAGCAAAAAAGTTCCTATAAACATACGTCCTACACCTCTTAGATTTTGAACTACAGAGTGGTAAAGTTATAAGAAAAAAACTTATTTTTTTCGATATATTTAATACACCTGTAGATATTTTTCTGAAAATTGGTTCGCAGTTTCTATGCATCCAATTGATGTTTCTGGTTTGTGATTTCTTAACATGAATTCCACTTTCAATTTTATTAATGTTAGGTGTACTGGGTGGATTTTTGACAATAATCGCAATGTTTGGATCTTGAGAAGTACCAAAAGAGACGTTTCTATTTTCGGGAAGTATTGGGTCCACAGCAGTTGGAGTCGATGGAGCACTGTTCGGTTTTTTGTTTAGGTTGTTCGTTAGTTCTTCCACGCCTAACAAGTCTTCAACAGAATAAATATTTTCATTTACATATAACTTATTTCGTTTAATATAACAGTTGTTTTGTTTATCTTGTTTTGCCAAATTTAAATGTTTTTTAAGAATACTGGACTCATATCTTGGTTTGGGAGTTTGTTTATGTACAATTCTTATATTTTCTCTCTTAAATTTGTTACAATTTTTTAAAATTTCAGTTTCCCCCACGAACAGACAAAATTTACTTTCAAAGGGCCATTCTTTTTCCCAGGGTATAAAATTCATTAATTTCAGATGGTTTTATATCTATATCCAACAGCGATTTAATATGTGAGCAAATACATTGTATATTTAAGTTATCTTGAATGTTTTGAAGCCCAAAAATGACAATGCTATTTTTCTTATTTTTCAATTTCTTCCTTCAGTAACTGGTTTTCTTTTTGTAATTCAGTGACTTTACTTTGTATCAATTCCACCCTCAATAATAGTCTAGCCTCAGAAGCATGTATTGCATTTTTTAGTTCCTTTTTGCTATTGATAATCTCATTTAAAATATCCTTGAACTTTCTGCTATTATATATTTCACTCATTGTATGTAATATTAAAATATTTAAAAAAATTGTGTCGTGTTTTGCGTGTGTGGTCCGCTTTAACAAATGTGATAATATCGGATCAAGCACGACTGATTGGTAGATAAGATATCAATGTGTTTTTGGTTAAACTGGTTTTTAAAAAGTAAAATGCAATCAAATATCTAAAATTTGCAATTATTTCTTTAAATTTCAAAGTGTTTAGTTTGTAGATTACTCTCTGTAACCAATTCCAGGATTTTACCAGATTGATTTCACATCGAATTGACAGTAGGACGTAAATTGTAGGAAACCAAATTGCTTGCTTTGTATACCAACTAGTTATAAATTCCAAAACATCCTCTTATTTATTTTATTTTATTTTAAATGGATATTTAAGATAACTCTAGACTAAAACCTACACTAAAGCTACCTCAAATAACAACAATAATGTTTTACTCCTATTTATATACTAAAAATGATTATGAAGCAAAGATAAGCTAATGATAACATAAAAGACTTTATTATATTCACAATATATAACTCCTCTCTCCTTAAGTTTTGAAAAATATGGAGTTATTTTTCAAAATATCTTCTGTGGAATATTCTAATTCAATTTCTTGGTTTTTCTTCTATATCTTCTTAAAAGTTGTCTTCTATATTTAATTAGTATTAAAATAATTATGCAAATAAAAAAATTACAAAAATTGTTCTAAAAATGCTTCAATAATTAAATATATTTTGAATTTCTTTAATTGGCTTTAATTGTTTAGAAATTTGATTGATTTCATATAAATCTTTAAAATCTAATTTAGTTATATTAGAAGTTTGAATTTTCTTCATGTCGATCTTCGGTAGAATGAATGGCTTTCCCTTGCTCAGTTGAATGTTGTTGATATATCTTCTTTTATTGACCCAAATTTCACAAGATTTTGGTATTTAGATTATTTCAGGTAATCTTATGTCTATGTACTAGTTACTGTTACATATTGAAAGAATTTGTTCAGGTTTTGACGGGATTATTAAGACTTCATTGACTGCGATTTGTTCGAATACTAACTCTTCTAAATTAACGTTTAAAATATGACAATTTGTCAAACTTTTTTCTTCAAGAAGTTGGAGAGCACAATTATCTCTGGGGATAAAATTCTGTTGACAATTTAAGGGATAGACTTTCTTCTCGTTCAAACTGTGTATCTTGATGTTTTCGTGCCAAATAGAGAAATAAATGTGTATATTTTTTGGTTTTGGATAATTGGGAATAAATGATAAAATTCAAAGATATTACTTGCAAAAATAGGAAAATGTACTGCAAAAATTAACTTAGATTTTGAAATTGATACTTGCGTTCTTAAGAACTGTTTTATATTTGTAAATTTCGGAATTTGATCAACATTATATATTTTATGTAAATATTTCATCATGTTTTTATGTCTGAGCTGGAAACTATAGGATTACGTAAAGTATTTAATTTTGCAAAGGTTATGGGATTTTCTAAAAATTCTATACAAGAAATTGCCATTTGACAATCTAAATCAATTTGTGATATAATGGCCTGAAAACTAATATAACTTTCAAGTGTATCGATTCTATCCTTTTTTAATTGATTCCTTTTCAAATATTTGATTAGAATTTTCAAAATTATCATGACGATAATCCTCATTGTTGTTATTTAATTTGGTATCATTGCTAAAAATTAGAATGTATTTCTTCAAAAGTAAAATATGGTTTTGTATTATAATTTTGGAAATTTCTGTTATCATAAGATTTTTTTGATTGAAAAGAAAGGTTTCTTGATGTCATTGACATCGGTTCTGGTTTCCTGGAATTTCATTTGCTTTTGAAACCATTTTTTGGTCATGATGGTCCAAAAACTTGTTGATTAGTAAAGTATTTTTTATTTAATTGTGGCATTGGTTGTACATTTATAGGATGACAAGGAAAATTATCAAAATTTGCTTTATATTGATTATTTACTTAATTTTGATTTAAATTTCTTTGATAATAATTTTGATTTGTGTAATGGGAATTTATATTCACAATATATAACTTGTTTCATCTTTTTCTAAATACAGTTTGTCTTTTATTTCATAGAAAGTACATACGACATATTTAATGTATTTAATCCGCGACATACCACTGCTGCTATTGATTTATATAAAAGTTGTACATACCGGAAATTCTATAGGTACATGTTTAGATAAACGACATTCCTTACTGCAATGAAATTATAATTTTTTTATGTTTGTTATTCACTCAATGTAGAGAAAAGTTGCCATAAAATTAAAATAAGATTTCACAAATCGCTTATAATATTTAACACGAAAACATCCAGTTCCTTATGCAAATTTTTATTACCGAGAACATACAATAAGCAAAACAATACATTTGAATTGCAAAATAAACATGTTTGAAGTATTAGTAATTTCTCTTATTTCCTATCGTTCATAACGCATATGACAGGGAATTTTACAACATAGAAGCATTCAATATTTAATACATAAACGATAAAGTTTAATAACTCGTAAATACTTTAAACATTTTAACTAATATTTTGTAATGACTCCTAATCATCTATCCCATCATCCTTGCAACTCCTAGTGAACTTCCCAATTCCTTAACCCCTAAATAATTGACAACGACCGACTGAAACAGGCCCTGGAGGTCAAGCAGTACCCACTCAAGTCCAGCCACTTGGAAACGGACAATTTAGAGCCGAATTCGTACCTAGAGTTGTAGGAGAGCATAGAGTCAATGTCACTGTCAGTGACGTGCCAACCGTAGGAAGTCCTTATGCCGCTAAAGTTTACGATGTCCAAGCTATTAAAATTAAAGATGCCGCTACTGGAATTGTGGGAAAGGCTGTTACATTTTTGGGTAAGTAATATGTTAATACAAATCAGAGAACACTAATTTATAAGCTTAATACAGTAAACGCCAAATCTAAAGAACCAAGGACGCGCATTTATAATGCTACGAACACGCCTACCGATGAATAGAATTGGTAGCTTACCTAGAAAGTTGTAAATCAGGGGCGCGTATATTTTAAGACATAAAATAAATGGAAAATAGTGAATGATGCTTATTCATACATATTGCTTAGTGTTATTATTAGTACATATTTCTATAGTCAATTAAAAAATCATTATTTTTAGGTAAGCCGACTTTAGATTAAGGAGAGCTTTGGTGGTCTAGTATTTTGTATTTTAACTGACATTAATTTTTTTATAAGCAAAATATGAAATAATATGTGTTTGAAGTAATATATCCTTCCGATTTTTTATACCGGGTTTTCATTTCAAAACTGGATAGTCCAAATAACTTCTGATTTTACATAATTTTAAGAAAAACAACATGTTTTATATTATATAGCCTATAAGTAAATACAAACAACGTAAACAATAAATCACAAATAAATAATTTATTTATTTATTTAATAAAAATCCAAACAGGCTTAACTAGCCTAATTACATGGATAGTATAATTTAAGTAATTTTTTTACAGGTGACATAATATTACAGTATTTTAATTGCAGAGGATAAATCACTTTAAATGGTAGAATTAAATAATTTTAAGAAATTTTACATGTTTTTAAAGTAGTTGTTATTTATATTATTTAAATTCCAAAGGTATCGAAGTAAGATATTATCAACTTTTTAAATTGCATTAAAGACAGAGACCAATCTAAGTTTACTATAGTATTAATATTATTGGCCAAACACAGAATTGAATAAAGTGGAGAACCAGCAGAGTTTTGTATATTGAATATTAGGGAGTTCCGTGTGCGTTTAGGAGGGACATGAAACGGTATGTAGTATAAAAGTCTGCTACAGTTTATTTGATTATTTATCACTTTGAATAACAAGTTCATCATTGCTATTTTACGTATCGTACTTAAAGACAGGATTTTAAATTCTTCACGTAACATTTGAGATCTTACATAATTATAGTCAGGCCATCGATGATACTTTTTATAGTATGTATAACGTAGGTATTTATTTTGAATTTTTTCGACAGAATCTAGATATATTTGCGGTTGTTGCCCCCAAATCATGCAAGAAAAATCTAACTTTGACCGGACTAATGTTTTATATAATAAATCAATTGTTTTCAAATTATAAAATAGTGCTGTTTGTCTTATAATAAAACCTAATGTACGATTGGCATTATTAACAGTATATCTTATATGAGATGCAAATGACATTTGATAATTATACGTAACCCCTAGGTCTTTATAATATATATAATATATAATATTTATAATATAATATTTTATAATGTTCATATGTCTTCGTCAGATTCTTCGTTGGAAAAAAACTCGTCACTGTCGTCACTGAAATCCTCATTAGAATTAATGACGATAGGATTAATTTTCGAACATAAATCAGTTTGTATTTCTCTTTCAAAACATTTATCTTCTACCTTTATAACATGATCGCATCACTTTTTCCATTCCTCCATTACGATTTTGTTAAATTCCTTTTTTGCTAATTGTTTTACGTCTTCTAACTTAAAGGTAACATTCCTTTGACTGACATTATTCTTAACAGTTGCCCAAAACACTTCGATAGGGTTCAAGTCGGGGTGATATGGGGGTAACCGTAAAGCGGTGTGGGCGTATTCTCGACCCAACTCATTAAATGCATATATTACATGTCGGTCCTTGTGAGATTTAATCATTTCATAGAACTCTGGTTTCAAACTTGTTGGATTAAAAGGTATGTTGTATTTTGTCAACCATTCGATCATATCATTCTTCAAAGAATTGAAATTAGGTGTTCGATTTGTCTGTACATTGTGATAACTATCACAAGTAATTACTGAATTAGTGGAAGATTGGGTATTAACTTTTCTCTTAATCATTTGCCGTAATTTTCCGAATTGATTTCGGAATGATAACAGACTTGGTACCTGATTTGAATATCAACAAACTATTTCTGATAAAACTCATTTCCCCCCCCACCGTAAACTATAATAAGCCTTTGGCCTTTAGAAATAACAGAAAACAAACCTTTTGTTGAATCGTCTGTCCAATTCTTGGAAGAAGTATGTCCGCTGTGTATATATGTTTCATCTAAATATAGTCCAGTAACTGAAGACTGAAGCTGTCATTAAGTCGGTCCAGATTTCCTTTGTGGCTCAATTCTTAGGTCTTGACGGTTGATTTTAAGGGAGAAAACTTTTACCACACTGTTGGGTCGGAGAGGGCTCAAAATGGCCCCTAAAGTCCGAAAAAATGGTTTCCCGCTAATATCTGCCAAAATATACAAATTAGACAATTTTTGTTTAGATAAAAAATGAAGATCATATCATTATCTACAAAAATGGTCCCTACCATTTTTTTGCAAGACGAATATTTTTTGCAAAAACGGCCTTCGAAAAAGCCCGAATTTTTGCACTGAATAGAAATGTTAGTTTCTCACTGAATTTTCGCTCGAGGAAGTTGGGAATACATTGATTTTCATGTTTTGGACTTTGAAGACCAATTGTAGATGGCGCCAGCGGCGTACCTCTGCTCACTAAATTATGGGGCCTATGAATGGAAATCCGGGCACCAATCGATCTTTTGACAATTATTGGCGGATTCTACGGGATTTTTTCTGGGGTATCTCATCTATATTGCCGAATGATCTGTGTATATTGCGTTGCAAAATTTAATAGAAAATTGCAAAAAAAATTTACATGTGGCAGTCTCAAATCCCGGCGCTTTGCCTAATAGTGGGTTACTAGTTTTAGAGTGTGATGAATATTGACCCAAGAAGACCCTTTATATTTTCTGCGCTTTTGCAAAATTTTCGCCAACTTCTATCGGAACAATATAGGTCCATGATTTCGGAAAAATAAGAAAGTTTCTGAAAAATTTCTTTTATTATGAAAAACATGTTGAAAATACGAAATACATAGCAATGCTTATGATTTATCATACGTTAAACCATTCAATGTCATCAGAATCATACTCTTCATCGTCTTGCTCTATTCCTTCCCCTCCTCCACGCGTCCCTTACCCCTGTTTTTCCAACCCCTGTGTTGCTGTCTCGACGGCTATTTCATCCTCCTCCCCTTCAACCCCTTCTGGGTCTCGATCCATCTCTAATTCTTCCGGGAAAATACCTTCATTTTTGTTATAATTAAAACACTGTGTCGACTGACACGAACCACAGACAGGCGAGCATTTCAGTCCGGCTTTCACAACTTCCTGGACACAAAGGAAACATTTTGGAATGGAGTCTGCTTCCATTGCTGCAACAAGAGCTTTACAAAAATATATTATTGAAATGTAATAAGAATTACAACAAATTTATAGACTTTATTTTAAATCAACCAAACCTTTTCTGTTCCCCACAAACGAAAAACAAATTCTTGAAAATTCAAGAATGACGTCGAATTTTTCACTTTAAACACTTCTTTTTTTTTTAATAACTTAATTGATAATGATAAAATACTATCAATATTTTTCTAAAATACTATCAATAATACCGACAATAACGACTCCAAAAACAACAGAGATTGTATACCAACAAAAGCAGACGATTAAGGTGAGCGCGTGACGCGTGGGTACACGTGGTTAGGTTATGATGGAATATCATGGATCTCAGGCGGAAAGCGTAAAAATGGGGGAGATAATTCTAACAAACAGTTAAGAACCACGCTCACATACGGGGATAAATTGATAGAAATGGAAAGGTGAGAACATCAGCTTCATATCGGTCTGGGTATTAATGTTCAAAAAATGAACAGCGGGGAACAAGAAGTATTTAAAAAAAAAATCCGGTGTGATTAATTTTCCCGATTTCTGGAAAATGGAGCAACTTTATTAAAAAAAAATACATTCGAAAAGTAGACACTCTAAGCTTTAAAATGGTGTGCATTGAATAACAATATAACGAAATATGAGTTTTTAATTACTGCTTGTTTCAAATATTTCTAGAACTCCGAAAACGTATGAAAAATGTAAACAAATAAATTTTGTTTTAAAACGCCAGGAAGATACTGGAAAAAAAGTTCTAAGATCATTCGAGACATCTGAAGATCTCATTTAAAACAAAAAACTATTAAAAGAAAAAAATATGAATGAATTACTATAAATTGGTCCAAAATAGTGGGAAAACGCAACTTTGACCCCTTTTTCAATGTTGTTGACAAGAAATAACGGGCTTCAAGGCACATGAATCGATACCTATGGGTTTTCCCATTGTAATGAACTTTGAATAATCGAAAAATATCAATTTTTGACCGAGTTCTGAAACAATTTGTCCACCCGTTTACAAGCTAATCAGCATTGCTATAGAGATAAAGCAGGGGCTGAACGAGGGGACTTTTGATTCCGGTTATCTCGAAACCTGTCGAATTCCCGACAAAACTAATAGGGACCATTTTTGTAGATAATGATAAGATCTTTCTTTTTTTATCTAAACAAAAATTCTCTAATTTGCATATTGTGGAAGATATTGGCGGGAAACCAGTTTAAGGGGCCATTTTGGGCCCTTTCCGACGCAGCAGAGTTGGTAAAAGTTTTCGATCTTGGAAGCGACCGCCGAGACCTAAGAGTTGAGCCACAACGGAAATCTGGACCGAGTTAATGATAGGTTGGTCCCTATAGTTACTGGACTAATAAACGATTGGTCTATTTTGACTTCTAAAATATTTTATCTGTCTCAAGTATTTTACTCTTAAAGTTCTTATTTTCATTTTTTCCACCAAAACTTTACGATTATTTTGTGTTTTCCTCCACTTAAATTGTAATTTTTTAAGGACTCTTCTTAATGAAGTTTCTGATATGTGGATATCTAAATCTTCCTTAATTTTATTATTGAACCTTTTAACAGTAACACGAGTTTTATGTTATATGAAAATGGTAAATTATTCTTAGAATGTCCCTCAATTGATATTCAGGGAGATTCGCAGCGGTTGATTTTTTGACGAAGTTTTTCCTAGGTGTACAAAATGTAATTTTTCCAGTTGTTTCCATTGACTGTTTACCTTCCTTCAAGATTCTTTTAACGGTAGTATAAGAAACACCTGTAAAAACGTAATATTAATGTTAAATTTAGTATTTTTTTACATTTATTAGGAAACAAAAATCTTTAGAAACAGAAGATAAATTTAAAAAATTAAATAAAAAATATTAGTCAAAAATAAAATGCATAGATATGTGTGTAAAATACAAAAAAATATAGAAAACTACGCAAGTTTAATTGAAAATAAACTACAGAATATGTTTACTTGTTGGTTGTGCAGTTTGAAGTTTGATATCATCTAAAGCAGTGGTCGCCAACCTCTCAATGTGTTGAGTTACTTTGTTAATTTTGGAATAAACAGCTAGCTACCCACACGGAAGCCACGTAACGCAACATAAATGAAATAATCCACAGTTAATTTATCATTATATGTATTTATTTTACTATTTAACTGGTAATACATAATACATAGGTACTAATAATAAACTAATAACAAAATAACTAATATTACTAGTACGTACTTGTTCATAGCTACATTCCTATCTACCAAACGAAGGTGTTTGAAAAATAAACACAAACTTTTATCCAGCCACAACGGCATGTCACGTAAGATTTAAAAATAGTTAATAATAACAACAAAAAAGTAACGCACTATCATGAACATAAATATTGAAAAATAAAAAAGCACGTTCAATGAGAAGGCTGACACTCAGACTCATCGATAATTTTTTTAATGTTTGCAGTATAATTTGATACAGCCATTCGAATACAATTATCCAAATGTTCATCTGTAAGTCGATTGCGACATTTGTTCTTAATAAACTTCATATTGGAAAAAGAAGATTCACACAAATAGGTTGAACTGAATAATGCTTTCACTTTCAAGGCAACATGGCATAGAACTGAATATTTGTCTTTACTTACAATAGGCCAGATACATTTGGTACTTGAGACTAACGATTTTAAGGCTAAATCATTTTGAAACTCAATTACTTCCATTTCTGTTACAGCGATGTCTTTGCCAAAGTTCTGCATAACACAAGTTGCAAACTGTTGGATATAAATTTCCATAAAGGGTGAAACAACAAACTGCGCTACTAAAGCCATTTCGTTGAAATCCTTAAAACGTTTTTTGAAGTAATTCTTTAGGGTAGAAAATATTTCTACATGAACTTTGCTGTCTTAGGGTTCTAATGGATTTTGAGATATTTTTTCTGAAAGAATAGGAAAATGCTTAGCATCGCTGTTAATTAGATTTTGTTCCCAAAACTCCAGCTTTTTGATAAATGATTTTATATCAGAAATCATTTCCGCTAGTTCTTTGTCTCTCCCCTGAAGCTGCAAATTAAGTTCGTTTAATTTCTTTGTAATGTCCACGATAAAACCAAAATCTCTAAGCCAGATTGAATTTTCTAGTTCCGGAGTCGGTTCATCGCGTTGTTTGAAAAATTGAACTATGCCAGATAGGACATCATTAAAACGTTTCAGCACCCGTCCTCTACTTAACCATCGGACTTCAGAGTGAAGGAGTAGGTTCCCGTATTGACAGTCAACTTCATCGGCCAAGGTTTTGAATAATCTTCTTTGTAACGCTTGAGCTCTAATCTTGTTCACAATTTTTACCACCAGTTTCATAACGTTGTTTAGTTTCAGGAAATTTCCACATAATGCTTGCTGATGGATAATGCAGTGGTAACAGAGAAATTGCGGAAAAGTTTCATCTTTACGACATAACGCCACCAGACCCTTATCACAACCCACCATAGCTGGAGCGCCATCGGTTGTCAAGCCTACCATTTTCGATATTGCAATTTTCTCGGAAAAAATAATATTTTTTTAATGAGAAAACAACTCCTGTCCAGAAGTGTGTCCTTTCAGTGGAATAAACTTCAAAAGATCTTCTTTAATCGTAAAATCACTAAAAACCATCCTGACGAACACGGCCATCTGGGCAGTGTCAACGACATCTGTTGATTCATCCAGTTGAAATGAAAAATAAACACAGTTATCTAAGTCAGTTCTTAACTGTAAAAAAATATCATTGCTCATTACTTCTACACGTCTCATCACTGTATTAGCAGAAAGTTGCATAGATTTTATAGCTGAAACTATCTCGTCTTTATTTCTAAAATTGGCAAATAATGAATCAGCAGCTTCTAAAAACGCCTGTTTTATCATTTCCCCGTCTTCATAAGGTTTCTTTTTTTGTGCAGTTATCTGGGACACACGGTACGATGCTTCAGTTGCAGCCTTATTTTTGTCGACTGTTCTTAAAAATATTGATTGTTGTCCAATTAACTGCTTTTTTAACTGTTTCAGTTTCTCCTTCCTGGCGGCAGAATGTAGTGGGAATGATTTTTCAAAATTAGAATGTACAGTTTTATGATGTCTCCCAATATTTCCTTTTTTAGCAACGGAGACCGAAGTATTACATAACAAACACACATTTTTATCTTTAACTTCTGTAAAAAAGTATTGTTCTTCCCATTCCGAATGAAAGTGGTATGTATGTCTTTACCTTCTTACAACTGCTTGCCATAATATTATTTTTTGTTGTTCTCTACTAACCCAACCGCTGGACGTTGGTTACGCGTTCAGTTTTAAACTAAGCGCAATATCGCCGCTCCGTGCGTATTTATCCCGTTCAAAGCAATCCTGATCGTTCTCGAACACTAACGCGCTGGTCCGGCTGGTCGGTTCTAGCCGATTCTAGCTTGATGGCGTCAGCGGCAGATCGCTCACCGCAACGTTGCCGCTGTTTATGTTTAATATTATGACAATTAGATTTTTTTGTGGAATTTTCGGAAGCTTCTCTGATTTTTGCAATTTGTATTTTTTAAATCAAAATCGTTGTGAGAGCTACCAGAATTGCCTCCGCGAGCTACCGGGAGTTCGCGATCGACAGGTTGGCGACCACTGATCTAAAGTAACTCCTTTCTTTTTTGTTGTGTCAAAATATTTAAAAACATTGTATATTACTTCACGACTTTGTCCGTTAATAACAGATCTGCGCTTTTTTTCACCCACAATAAAAGACATTATCAAAAATAAAACCAGTCACTTTAACTAAACCACAAGAAACAAACAATGATCTAGTCGTTACGCTACTGACCGTAAGCAAAGACAAGGTTCAAATTGTGAATGGGCGTGGCGATTTTTAAGTAAACGAACTTGAGCTGGTTCTTTAGATTTGGCGGTTACTGTACTATACTGAATAGTAGAAGCTACATTTAAACTTATACAGGTACATATATTTAAAGGCGGAATATTTATTTTACAACGAATTGGACAAGTTATAATAGAACCACGCGTGAAACAAAAATGGCTTATCAGAATGAAACACCTGGCGCACGGTACTTACAGGGTGTTCTGATCTGCATCTCAGAAACTGCGAAATAAAAATTAAACATATTAATACAACAAAACAAACAACTGAAAACAGAGCAAAATAGAATAGAAAATAATAATAGAGTAGGTAAAGGATATCTAGTTTAACGAAAACAAAATGCAATACAAAAAGTGGAGGAAGGGGGTGGGTGGCTCAGTGGTAGAGTCTCAGCCTGTGGATCCAAGGATCCCAGGTTCGAATCCCAAAATTAGCCGGGATTTTTTCATTTAATTTAATTATTTAAAATAAATTCTGATGCCTTGGTAGGATTCCCCACTCGACCATTCACTGTTGGGTTCTAATTAACAGTGCTGTTCCTAAAGTGGTGCTGGGAAACAGTAACAAAGCCTGCACAGAACACGATGCGAAATAACCCTAGCAGGTGAAGCCGACGACACACCAAAAAAAAAGAAGTAGAGGTATGTGGACGAATTGTTTTCCATCTTTATCAATGAAAATATCAAGTTTCTGTCTAGTTGAATTGACAGCAGCTTCTATTTTAATCATATCTGTATCTGTAACGTACGGAGGGTGGGTTGCCCCTTGCCCCCACGGCACTTAGGCCTCAATAGGCCCATTGTGCATCCTCCTAATATGATAGACACCTCCTAGCTCGTGAGCCAGCCTACAGATTTAATGTATTTGACAACGTCGCCAAGAGGTGCTTCTCTTATATCGGCCGGTGTTAGCCGATACTCGCCGAACACAAATCTTCTTATAAATGAGAGCGACGAGCAATCGTAAAGGATATGCTCGATGGTCTCATCTTCTTGTTCGCACCCAGAGTATGGATTCTGACAGCCCCTTGATATGAATATGCTTCCGTACTTGGCAATGACCAGTCAGAATGCCTGTGACTAGGCGCAGATTCTGTCTAGTCATAGTCAAGTATTTGTTTGCTTAAAATAACTTAAGAACTCCCTGGCAACTCTGCAGTTTCTTGTTTCATCCCATCTTTTCTTGAATTTTACTAGGAAATGTTCTTTAATTAGGTCTGTCAACTACTGATTTTGTCAGGCCAATAGATGGGCCAGGTCCAAAAAGTATTTGGTTGGTTGCTTTCTTGGCTAGTGAATCAGCAAGACGGTTACCTTTCGATGTGGCGTGACCTTTGATTTATCTTAAGGTGACCACATTGTTGATGGATACTTCGGCCAAAGCTTCGTGACTTTCTAGTACTAACCCTGAGTAAATTCGTGGTCTGTTCAGGGTGAGTAGTGCTTGTTTGCTATCTGTATAGATCAGCATGTTCCTACCAGTGATATTGTTTCTGGTCATTTCTTTTGCTGCTATGAGAATCCCCGTTAGCTCTGTTTGAACTGCGCTGGCACTATTGCTCACAGTTCATTTTATATTTAGGTTTAAGAATCTAGAGTATATTCAACATCCTGAGCCTTGTTTTGTACCTATCACTTCTGGCTCTTCTATTTGTTCTATTATAACTTTATATGGCTTATGGGAGATATATCTCGGTAAGATGGAGTGTATCGAGCGCCTCCTGCCAAAAGCAACGTCTCGCCTCACCAGATCTTACATCAGGTTCTATTCGAACCGTGCGGAGGCGTGTCATTGTCGCCTTGATGTAAATATCAAGGGGAGTGTGACTAAAAATGACTTCCATGGCTCTAGTCAGTGTTGTTTTCATGGCTCCTGTTATGTTGAGTCATATTGTTTTTTGAATTTGTTCTAGTTTACGGATAGCTGTTAATTTTTGTATTTCAACTCTAGGAATATATATGATCAATTGCAGTTTGTATTCGTTTAATTAGATATTCTCTACTTACAAGCTGAGTTTGGTAAACTAAATCTTTAGGTCGACCCCACAAATAAAAATCTAATACGGTGAGGTCGAGAGATCTTGATGGCCATAAAAATAGACTACTTCTTCCAATCCACCTATTCCGAAATCGTTGATTTAAGAAGTTTTTTACATCAGCCATCCTGCTGTATCTACATAATACGATGTACCTCTACAAAGAACTCTTACTACCAATGGGAGAAAATTTTATCTTGGAAGGTGATTTTAATGCCAAAAATATCCGAGGTTCAAGATTAATAACCACCAAAGGTAGGTAATTGCATGCAGCTGCAAGTGATATTGAATGTGACTACCAGTCAACAGGAAAACCAACCTATTGGCCAACCGACAGAAATAATTTACCTGGCTTACTCGACTTCTACATTACTAAGAAATACCCTAAAACTTTATTAAAATAGAAGAAAATTTTGACTTAGACCTACAATGTGTAATAAAAAGTCAGACAGTAGATATTTTAAAGCTGAATTAAGTAATAGAATGCATTGAAGAGTATAAAATAACAACTATAGTACGAGAACAAAAAAAACTTCAATAGTTGTATTAAGGAAACTTTTAATTTTGATGAGCGAACAAGTTCTTTCTGTCTTATGTTTCCCTAGACGATACTGATTAGTTGTTTGTTGAACAATTGGACATTTTCTTTCCCTAGGTTAGATTCGAATCTTATTTTCAAATTAACAAATCGGAATCTGGACATAGAATGTCCCGAAAAATATAACACGATTTGAAAAATCGTTTTTAAAAAAAATATTTTTTATTTAAACAGAGTTATAATTATGTCTTTATTAATTGAAAGCTAACATCAGACCAAAAATGTAAAAAATAATCATTGTTAACACATGTACGCTGATAAAAGAAACTTGAGCTGCCGGCTGGTGGGATTCTTAGAATTTCTGGGCACTTCGGCAGTTTCTGTGATATAATTCCCGTTAGCCAAGTTGGTAAAAGCGGACAGTGTACGTATAAGAACACGAATTAGTGGGTTCGAATCCCACTACGGGATATAGTTTTTTCAATTTTTCATTAAGTTTGTTATCTCTTTGGTGGTTTAAACAAAGTTTTCATTATTTTGTAGTGGTAATTTTTAAATATTTATTGTTTTATTAAAATAATTTGGAATTTTGCCTTTGGGTGTCCATACTATCCATGTCTCCACGCATTAAATTTACAAGAGAAGAAAACTATGTTTAGACAAGTCATATAAGTGTAGTAATGAGGCATCGAAACCAATATTTAAAATTATCTTAACCATATTACAAATAATTTCTCCACTGTTTAGTTGAAACCAGCCAAGCAGGCCCTGGAAATCTGGAGGTAACAGTAAACGGTGGCTTGGTTCCCACATCGGCCCAAGCTCAAGGTCCGCATACTTACGCAATCTCTTTCACTCCAAGAGAAGCGACAGTCCACTCCGTGGACTTGCGCTTTAACGGTCAAGATGTGCCTGGGAGTCCGTTCAAATGCGCCGTTTCTCCTGCAGCTAGAATTTTGGCGATTGATACTTTGGATAAGGTGTCAGTGGGGAAGCCGTGCACGTTTGTCGTGGAGAGTCCCAATCCACCTACTGTGGAGATTTTAGGACCGGCAAGAAGGGCGCTAGTAACAAAGGTAAGAAAAACTAATAGGATACATTTTATATTTGTTGTATTATTTCTTCATTAGATGTATACTCAATCAATTGTTCCTCCTTCTGGAATCCATAAAACTAAAAAAATCACCCATCGCCAAATTTAAAAATAGTTATATATTTCAGCACTAAGAAAGTGGGATTATAGACCAACTAGACAAGATACTGGTGTTTTATATTTGTTCTTCTATTTCTGGTTTATACTGGATAATCTATTTGGTCTAGAAGTATCAATTTTAAAACATTGTTTCAGAACTATTTTTAACGTCAACAATACTGGTTATTTTGTCTTTTGCTGGGTAAAGACGAACGACTATAACTCTCTGCCAAATGTTCTGATAGCCGTTGGGGTCCATCATAATTATAACCTCTTTAAGCTGAATATTTTTTCTTTGTTCTTACCATTTCGTTTTTCTAATTAGTGTGGGTGCAATACTTCCTAGTTCATTGGGACCAGAATATGTCTGCCAACTTCTGTGCAGTCCTCCAGCTAGTCATTAGATTGAAGTCATTGTTACATGATTTTGTACAGGTACAGCGCAGCATAGTTAGGTCAAATCAATTAATGATTAAGGGTCAAGCTTACTGAGTCAAGAGTTAATTATGTTTTCACACTCTGCAAAGAGTGTTCAAGAGTGTTCAAAAAATTTATTTCTCCAGCATTCACTATGCATAACATGACCACAAGTGCTAATATGCGGTGCAGGTCCTAAGTTTACCGATTTTCATCAAACCCTCGTTAGTTTTGTGTTTACAAAGGACTGCTGCTTGTTGAACGAAAGCTACAAGAACCATGGTCGGCCCATCTGGGGTGATTTTTTCTTCTTCCTGACAAAGTATACACGTATACGTTTTTTCCTTTGCGAATCTGGGAGATTGTCGAGGCCCGAGAGCTATCGGTTGTTCTTCAGATTCTGTCATGTCCATTACTTCTACCTGGCTAGAGGTGGATGTTTTATTGTTAACATTTATTTGAGGATTTTTTTGATACTCTGATTGAAGCGTTCCCAACTTCAATTCACGGATCTAGTGATGCGTTTGAAGAATAAATACTTTTGGATTTCATTACCTTGAAGTAGAGTTTTAAAGGGTTTTGATAGTTATTTGTTTCCTCCAATGAATTTACTAACGCAATCACAAAAAGTTCCTGTGGAAATGCACACCTGCAATCAATTTGACGAAGAACGTTAGTGAAGGAATTTAAAGTTAGGTTAAGTACGATTTCCAAGTAAACACCACGTGTACGTGTAGGCATGCATGTAAAAATCAAACCGTATCTTTTTCTTTGTTTTTTTTTCACAGGGACTTCTATAGGTCCGAAATAATCTACTCCTTTTCGAATGAAGGTTCAATGCCAAGTTAGCAATTGTACAATTTGAGGTATAGTTGGTTTTGCTTTTCAGTTTTTGCACCATTGTCAACTCTTCCAAGTGCTTTTAACAACTTGTATCGTTCGTAAGATCCTAAATGGTTCACGAAGATTATTGATAACGATTTCTTGGCCATGGTAGTAGACGTGTTCGTGACGATAAAGTTTATTAATAATACCCCCACTATTGTTATTAAAGATGTAACACCAATAACAAAATCGATGAAATTCAAATAAGTTTATTATGTTACTGTCCTAAGATAATTTTTATAAGTGAAGCAAGAATTACCAAGGAAATTGAAGGAACTGAAATTAAAATCGTTGGGTATAATCTGATCAAATGTAACTCCTCAAACCGAAGCACAGGGGATACTAATTTACGTGAAGGATAATTTAAAATTTTCTCTTGCTAAGACCTTTGTGCTTGAGCCAAATTATTGGTGCAAAGTAATTAAACTTGATCTTAGTGGTTATCAGTCGTTAATAAGTTGTCTCTACCATTCACCATCAAGTTTTGATGCTGTATTTTTGGACAGTTTGGAAAATATATGTGATTCTATGTTTGTTAATAATCAGCTTTGATTATACAAATGACTGTTTTTATAGTAATAAAATTAAAGCAATATTTTTACAATATGGAATTGACCAATTTATCACTGAGCCTACACGAATTACAAATAATAGTAAAACTTTGATAGATTATGTATTAATTAATAATAATTTTGTTAATGCTACAGTTCATCATACTCCGAAAATTAGTGACTATTCTATAATATCTGTTAATCTTAGTAATAACAACAAAGACATAAATATAACCACTAAAATGTATAAAAACTTTAGTAAAACTAACTTAGATAAAATTAAACTCGACTTAATATCATGTAATTGGAACTTAAATTCTACTGATGTTAATACTATATTATACGATGAACTTTATAAGAACTGTCAAACGGTAATAAATAATGTAGCGCCTATAGAAGTTTGCCACTATAATAGTAATGTTCCATGGTTTTCAATCGCTTTAATAAATTACTTAAGTGTGCTCCTAAGAGAGTTCCCTGTAGCTCCAATCGAGGAATAGATAAAGGTCTGAGTGGAGGTATTCTAGTTCATACAAAGGTCACTTCTTCTACTTCATATTCTTGAGGTCTCGAGGCAAAACCGTGAAGTTAAATATAACTCGTATTTCTATCCAAGATGAAATACTCTCTAGGAATGTTAAATTTGTATATATTTTTTAAATCATTCATAAAAATAATCCATTTTTCTTTTATACTAAATGTGATTTCGTCATCCCATCCAATCTTACTTCTCCAAATATCTTGTAGAAATAATTTACCGCGGATAATTATATGAGATAAAAAAACTTAAAGGGTCAAAGATTGACATAACAATTTTTAGGACCTTTTCTTTACTAAGTCGTCTGCGATTTTCAAAAATGTCGATATCAATTTTTAAAAATATCTTCTGTTTGGCTACAAAATTATCTGTTGTTGTTTCGTCATGGTTTTCAAAATGTTAAGGTATCTATGGAGTCAGATCAGGATATATATTTTTATTGTTGATAATCCAGTTATAGATATAATAAAACCATTTTGTTTGTTGACAAATATAACATCATTTAACAGTTAAATTGCTTATTATATAGTATTATCCCCTCCTATATAATCATTCATATAGTAATTATATAATATGTTTAATATCGTGGACAGCAGCTGCAAAATCCTCTTGATAGTCTTGATAGTCTTTTTGGACCAAACACGGGTCGCTAAATGACCCAAAAAAGACAACACAGATTTCGTAGCTGTCAGTCCATTTCTCTCCACAAGAGTCTTTGTGCCTGGCGATCTTCTTTTTTGTGTGTACTTGCAAGAACATTTCTTTAATTTTTGATATAAAGGGATATTTCTTCATCCTTAAGTTTAAAAGACTAATTTGCAGCGATCTGGACCGGTTAATAAGTGGCCATTTAGGCTTAAAGTAATCTTCGTCTTTGGACAATTTTCTAATGTAGGCTTTGTTCACAAGATCTTCAAATTGTAGACAGGCCTTTTTGATACATGTTTCCAACTCTTTCCATAGTCATATCTAATATTTTTTGGGCACGTCTCTCTTCTGGTGATAATCCTTCTTCTATTTTGTTAGAAATAGATTCCACTCTCCACTGTTGTTTTACCAGATCATGTAGAATGTCTAAATAATCTTTAATCTTGCTACTATGGATATCACAGAGAACTTCATTATGAGTAAGCTTTGGACTATTTTCTTCAAGGTGTCCATGAAGAACCCATCCAAGCAGGGTCTTACTGATTAACTGTCGGTTAACTAACAAGGTTCATTTATCTTGTCCTATTAATATTTTAGATTGGGCACGTTTTATTGAAGATGTCCTACGATAATAAACTTGTAATCGATATTATAAATTTCTATATAACTTGTTTTTTAATATGTCTGAAGTAACTTAAGTTATTTTTCAAATATGTCGATTATGTAGTCGTGTTCAGAATAATCTTTTAATGTAATCAAGATCTAAAATGAATTAGACCACTTAAATTGTATAAATTGTTTCAGATTCAGCCCCAAGAAAACACAGTAGGAAAATTTGAAGTATCGTTTACTCCAATCGACGTCGGTGATCACAGCGTCGAGGTGCGTCTTCAGAGCGGTCACATAGATGGCAGTCCGTTCCTTATCAAAGCTTACGACGCTAACAGAGTAACGGTGACTGATATCACCGATGGAATTGTAGGGAAGCCGGTATCTTTCAGCATAAATGCATCGCAAGCTGGTGCTGGAAACTTGGAAATCATAGTAGCCGTCGGAGGAAGAAACGTTCCCAATTTCGTTCAGAGTGAGGGAAATGCGAGGTTTAAGGTTAATTTTAAACCCACAGAAGCTGCTACACATACTCTAAGTGTTAGGTGAGTACCGATGTGAATAGTAAGTGTTCTACTTTTGATTTATTTTAATTTAGTCAAAATTTGTTGCAAAGTGTCCGTACAACATTTAAACTTTCCACTAATCATCTATAGTTGATTTGATAGAGTAAACTCCCAGAAATATCCCATATTTGTTTTTTTAATTCTGCATAAATACATATCAATTTCAATAGTTTTGTATTTAATGTAAGTATTTTCTTTTAGATTCAATGGACAACCTGTACCAGGCTCACCATTTAATTGCAAAGTCAGTCCTGGGAACACTCAACCAAGAGTACCAGTATCAGGAACTGGTATTGAGCTGTCAGCAGTTGGACATCCAGCAGAAATAAAAATTGAAGGAGTCACTGGTACGTACATGTATATAATCGAGCCTTCAGCAGTAAAAATTGCCTACAAAAGTCAACATAGTTCTAATACAGATAGTTTGATGAAGTTCAGTCATATTTGTTTTCATTGATATTCCTAGATGAAATTTTATTTTAACTTTCTGTTTGATCTTATAACATATCTAGAAAATTATTACATTAAATTTATTTTTCTAGATGGAGAACCCCAAGTTATAGCTACAGCTCCTACGGGGAAATCCCTACCAACGAAACTAATTGTAAACGGAGACACCTACATAGCTCGATTTGTTCCAGAATCGGTCGGCCGCCATTCTGTTGCCATCTTAATCAACGACCAACACGTCATCGGTTCTCCTTTTAGTTGCAACGTCTACGATGTTAATAAAGTTATAGTTACTGGTTTACCAGGCAGAAAGGGCGATCTTAGCAGGTCGATCAATGAAATGAATCTCAAAGAGTTGCAAAGTAAGTCGTATTTTTAGGAAAATAAAGTTTTTGGATCTTATATATTAAAAAAATAGCTTTTTGATTTGTTAAAAAGGTAAAAATCAATTTATGATCAAACATTTTTAAATTACTCATTAATTTGGATTCTCTGTACATATACACAATATTATTTTTAAACGTTCACGCTCCATTTCCCATAATATCACAGAATGTATGAGCTATTTAATGATTTAAGGCTTAAAATATCTCCAATATATAATTTTACACTATTAATTCCTCTTATAGGTCCTGCAGAAGTTGGCAAACCAGTAACCTTTAGTGTAGACGCCGCCCAAGCTGGAGAAGGAACTCTGGAGCTCGTTGTATCGACCCAACACACAACGATTAAAGCAGAAGTAGTAGCATGTGCAAGAGGATTGTACGATGTCACCTTCGTTCCGCTTACAGCCGAGGATCATTATGTTAACATTACCTTCAACGATATGATAGTCGGTGGTAGCCCGTTCCATTGCAGCGTAATAGAATCTACACAATATTTCCAGATTGGCAGTACTGCTTGTATAGATTTGCCGAGTGAAAACCATAGGATCGAAGTCAACGATCCCAATAACCATCACGTTAAATATGCCATCAATAATTATAAAGGAGAATTTAACTTAACTCAAACTGGTAAGATACAGATATTTATGTTAACCTTTTGATTTATGATATTTGCTTTTTTTGCTAGATAGGTACTCTCTGCACCAAACCTTCTTCCTTTTATTTAGTTTTCTTAGGTTAGGACGCATTATCATGGGGGCTATAATTGCATTTGTGGCGACACTAGTATTTTCACATAAAATGTAGGGTGTATTGGCCGAAACCACAAACGTGTGGTTGGCTCCATGTGTGATCTGCTAATATTTGTTTTGATTTCACCACAAGTTCAAAGCTCTTTTGAACTTGACTTACTATAAGAAATATACGGTTTGCCTTTCGACTTTTTTTGTATTTGTGAGATGTTTTTTTATATATACATATATACAAATACATCCCTGATAACTTAAAAATTGTACTTAAAGGAAAAATAAGAATGTATGCATGTTTTACAAATTGAATGTTTTTGATTGTTAGATGGCATAAATTGTCCAAGACTAGAACGATCCAACTTTCTTTTTGACAGCTACAATAATAATAATATAATTTTTAACTTTTAGGTACTTATCGGGTACATATAATAAGAGACAATGAAATTGTTGCAACCAGAACCTTCCATGTGTTTGACACAACGAAAATTGATGTCATAAACGCTCCAGAAGGTATATGCCATCGACCTGCTACTGTTGGAATAAATATTAATAGAGTCGGACCTGGTAAACTCACGGCTACAGTGAAGGTGAGTACATTTATTTCTTAATTTAACCCTCGTTTGTTAACATTTGGAAACCCCACTTTTATCCCATCTTTATTAATAATGAAAGTTGTAAACAAATAAAAAATATATGATAATCAAAGATGTTAATAGGGGGAGGACAAAATAATCGTTTATTTTTTTTTTGAAAATCGATAATTTACCAATCGATTATTTCCGATTAATTGAATATTTTCGATAATTCGATTATTTTCGATTAATCAGTTGTTTCAACTAATCGATTATTTCGATTAATCGATTATTTTGAATAATCGATTATTTCGATTAATCGATTATTTCGATTAATCGATTTTTTCTATTAATCGATTATTTAAATTAATCGATTATGTTAATAGATTAATCGAACATAAACGATTATTTAAAAATCGATAATTGATTACTTATTTTGATAATCGCCCAGCCCTAGTTGTTAACTTTTCCAATAATTCAAACTCAATCCCAGGTATGTAGGTTCCTTTTTTAATTAACAGATATCATAATCAAAAGAAAATCTTTCCTCCAACCTTACTCACGGATGGCCACTCAACATTTTGACTATAATTTTCAATTTTTCTTTTTCTTATAATCTTCTATTGTTCATAATCTTTCCAAATGCCTGTCTATATTTTACTTCCATTTTATTCTGACTTATATTTTCACTCTTTTTGTTTAGCACAAATTTAATTTTTTATATTTCCCTTTCCTTTTTCATTTTGTTTTCAGTCTTCCTTTATTTTCATACTTTTTTCTTAAATTCTTCATTTATTTTCCTTGTGTTTTCAGTTTTCCTCATTGATTTGTTTCCTAATCTTCTTTATTTCTTTCGCGACTTCTTTCCCAGATAACAATCATACATTTTTAGCATATTCTTAGTACATACTTTTTAAGAATACGCATATGCTGCGAATATACTTTATTTGCATTTAGTATATTCTCAGAATATACTAAGGATATGTTTTGTGACGTTGTTTATACGTGCTATGCAGATACTGAGAAAGTACTTCAAGTATGTGTACAGTATGCAATAAGTATCTACTCTCATTTGATAGTACGTTATAAGTATATGCTAAGTATTTCAATGTAGCATATGCTAAGGATATACTAGACACCCTAATACAGGATGTTTCATTAATATTAAACATTAAAGAATAAATATCTTGACCATTTTTTAAATATTCATTTCCAAAAACTCATAATTATTCTTATTTTTATTACAAATTCTTTCTTTGGCCTTAACTAACCAATATTTTATTGTATCAATGGCTTATGGCTTGAGTTTCATTTGCTTGCTTCCATTGGATCTTCATTGAATACAAAAAATTGTGTGCACAACTAAAGGAATATTTTAAATATTTTTGTCGAACGTAAAACATTAAAAATTGTACATGGCATTCCACTAACAAAAACAAGAGTGACATAAATGATTATTATGTTTTGTGAAAATTTAAATATATTTGTTAATTACTTACCACCATTTTGTAGTTTTCGTCCTCCTTTAGCTAATTTTCTAGGATTCTTTCCATAGAAAGTGTGTGTGTGTGTAATTCTGGTGACACTGTATTTTAGTTTCAATTCGCCATTAGTATCACAGATCACTTACTAGTATTAACCATATTAATAAACTCACACTGGCAATTAATATTTGGTATATACTGTATTCTAACATCACTTAAATATAGGTCCTAAAAACTACAAACATTGCAAAATTTGTTTATTTTTATATAAAACACACGATGCGATTAATTTTTATTAATTTATTTATATAGTTTATTTACCTCAAAAAATTTCTAGATTGTTATTCTTCTTCTCTTCTATTAAGGTTGTAAATGTTTTTTGGCCTGAACACTCAACATTAGTATTTTTGCTAGTGAATTATCATATCGTCATCTGGGAAAAATTCATATAGATATGAATATAAATGTGTTTTTATATGTATTTGGTGTTCATTCTTACCTGTAAGTATTTAGAACATTCTCAGAATATGAGGTACATGCTGGGTATATGACTTTTAGTATCTTCTAAGAATGTCCTGTTATAGCACGTGCTCGGTATATACTTTTTAGAATATACTTTTAAGGCACGCACTCAGTATATACTTTTTAGAATATACTTTCAAAATATAGATAAAGCTATATTCTTAGAACATTCTAAAAAGGACATACTAAAAAGAACATAAGCAGAACGTTCTTAGTATATTCATAGAACATTAGTGTTATGTGGGTTAATTAAATTTTCTCTTTTCTTTCTTTTTTACTAATAAGTACATATTTCATCAATTTCTATTCCAATATCTTCTATTATTTTGAAAAAAAAATTTTTTTTCATTAGTCTATTTCTGTCTTTATTCTTTCAAACGTTCTCGTTTTTTTTTTTTCTTTTTTCAATAAAATTTTAAACGTATTATCTTGTACTTTTTCAACTTCTATACTTTTGTCTATCATTTCTATTTTCTATCCTTGTATCAATTCTAATCTCTTCTGTTTTATGATTTTTCTATTTAACGTTATTCTATACCATGTGCTCTACATAATATCGTTTTTTCGTTTGAATATGACCAATAGTAGCCGAGATACGCGCTTAGGTCCTTTTGGCATTGCTACCGCGCAGGATTTTTTTATTCAACGTTAATCTATATCACATTCTCTACATAATGCCGTTTTTCTCGTTTAAATCAAACCAAAAATAATCGAGATACACGCTTAGGTCCTTTTGACCATGACATTGCGCATGATTTTTCTATTCATCGTTAATTTATACCATGTTCTCTACATAATGCCGTTTTTTTCCTTAATTTTTTTTCATCATCTGAGTCATCTCTTAGCTTTGCCTTATAACGTTATTAATTTCTATTCTGTCTTCTCATCTAAAAATTTCTTCTATTCTATTTTCATCCATTTTTTTATTAAATTCCTTTTTCTCTAATTGTGTTCCATTTCTTATTGATTCCTATTTTTTCTCCATCAAAGACGTTGGCTTCGTTGTTTCGATTTTCCATTTCAAAAAGATCTTCCTTTCGTACTTTTTCTATTTTTCCTTATTCTTCTATCTGTTTCCTTTCTCCTATTCTTTTTCCCCTTACTTAGATCCATTGTTTTGTTATATTCAAAATTGGTTATATCATAATTTATGTAAAAAATGTGCTAAATTAAAAAATGTCAAATTGATAAACCCACGTTTTCCAATTTGACTGCCCCACGTTGAGCGCCATTTTTATATAATTAAAGTTGTAAGTATATATAAAAAATAATTCGTTAATCAAACTTATAAAAAAAATTAACTCGCCCTGTAAACATTCCCAATAACTTAAACTCAATACCAGGACCAGGACAAGAGAAACTCTTTCCACCAACCTTTTTATGCTGTGGTTACTTACGGATGACCACTCAATATTTTGACTTTAGTCTTTACTTTTTCTTTCTCCTGTAATCTCCTATTTTCATTATCTTTCTAAATGTCTAACTATATGTCACTTCCATTTTACTCTGACTTTTCCATTTTCACTCTTTTGTTTAGCACAAATTTAATTTTTTTTTTATATTTCACTTTCCTTTTTACATTTTGTTTACAGTGTTCCTTTATTTTCATACTTACTGTTTTTTAAATTCTTCTTCATTTATCTTCCTTGTGTTTTCAGTTTTCCTCTTTGATTTGTGCTCTAATCTCCTTTACTATCTTTCGCGACTTCTTTAATTCTTCAAGTTTCTCTTTTCTTTCTTGTTTACTAATAAAAGTACATATTTCATCAATTTCTATTCCTATATCTACTATTTATTTGAACAAATTTATTTATTTCTTCTTTCAAACGTTCTCGTTTTTTTTAATTTTAAACATATTATGTTGCACCTTTTCAACTTCTATACTTTTCCCAATCATTTCTATTTTTTACCCTTATATCATTCCCAATCTCTTTTGTTTTATGATTTAAAAAAATTACTCCCTTTTCTCTGCTTCTTTTTATCTTCTATTTCTTTTATCGATTCTTCCAATTTCTTTTCATTCCGTCTCTTTTTTTTTTAATTTTTTTCCATTATATGGATCATCTTTTTGTTTTCTCTTATAAAGTTATTAATTTTTTCTCTGTTTTGTTGTCAAAATTTCTTGATTTCTGTTTGGCTTCTCTTCTAAATTTCTTCTTTTCTATTTTCATCCATTTTCAACATTTGAATTATTGTCTTCTTTTTCTTCAATTTTCTCTAATTGTGTTCCATTTCTTATTGATCCCACTTTTTTCTCCATCAAATATGTTGACGTTCATTATCCATCAAATGCTTATTAAGTAATTTTTGTTAACATAATTTAATGTTTCATTTATTCTGTAAGAAAAAGGACAGTAGGCATAAGTTATCATTGTAAACCAGCGAAGATATTGTTTGCGGTCTATTTCACGGCCACTACAGTTTGTTCTAAATCGTGTTCTATTTACGGTTTCCTCAGAATCCACAATCTCCACTAGATCTTCAACAATTTTAACAACAAAAAATATGTAAATAATTAATTTAGGACCAGATATCATATCATTATATTGTTATAACGTTAAATTATTTTATTTTTCACTTGTTTATTTTACTTTAGATACGATTGCTATAAATACGCTCATAACGCCCGCTCATTGTAAAAGGAGAAATAAAGCAAAAGTTAGAACGAAATTATTTATTTGGGAAAATTTTCATACTAGTATAAGCGACAACTCAACAAACAACAACAAACTAAGTCTTACCTAATTAAAATTAAAAGCGCAATTTTCGAATTTTTCGGAAAAATTATGTGACCGGAAAACATCGGATTTTTTCTTAAAGAGAAACCACTAGTACTTAGAAATTCTTTCATTGTTGACACTTCGTTTTTAGAGAAAATGTTCTGTTCTATGTAACCTTTCGTTACAGATGCACTCTTCCATTTTCCGTGCATTTTTAAAGTTTCATAGGATGCACCGGCCTCAGTTGAAAGAGTTGCCGAAGTCCTTCTCAAACAATGTCCAGTATATT